GGGGGGGGACACCCAGATTTTTTTAGGTATCCCCTTGTATTAAGCTCACTTTAATTATAGCTGCCATAGATAAAGTGGGAGCATTTCAAATAGTTCCTGGAAAATGCATATTATGGATTTCTTTCTCTTTTTTTTTTTTTTTGACACCAAAATAAACACATTCTAACAATCTGAACAGGGTTTAGTTTGAGGCAATAAGAAACTAAGAAGAATAAGCCATCAGTTTGAAGAGTCCCTATCAGAGCAACAAGAACTTAGCTAAAAGTGAAGAAAGAACAAACATCAAGATTATAGGGAAGTTTGGGTGGAAAAATGGTGAATTCATTGATGCTTTACAGAAAGTTTGTGGTAACAATGCCCTACAAAGATCATCAGTTTGCAAATAGATAACTCAAAAGATGGCACTAAGAAATATTGAGAATAAAGGCTTGGGGGCAGACCATACACACCCAAATTGCATAGAAACCATTTTTTTCATGTTCTAATTAAAGGAGGATCATCAACAGCAGAAACATTAACCTGTGACCATCAATTAACAGTAGAAACATTAACCAGTACCACAGGCATCTCTATTGATTCAGTTTACACAATTCTGACCCCCCCCAAAAAAAAATGAGTAAACTTTCTGCTTGATGGGTGCTAAAACTATTATTCCCAGATGAGCTACAAACAAGAGCAGAGCTTTCTATGGATTTTAAATAAGAGAAAGCAAGATCCTGAAGCGTTTTTTTGAAGGATTTTAAGAAAATATGAAACATGGCTTTAACAATATCTCAAAGTCAAAGCAAAGGTAGGCTGACTGGTCAAGATCAAAGGTGTCATGGCAATTGTTTTGAGGGCTGCTTAGGACATTTTACGTGATCTTCTTCAGGACCCAAGGATGATAGTGAGAAAGTTGGGCCAAAGCTTTAGCAGACAAACTTTCTAGAATACTTCATGAGAGGTCTTCACCACCGCAATAATGCTCCCTTGCTTGGTTCTCTCATCAAAGAAGGACAGTATGGTGAGAATTTCTATAGGAAATCATGATTTGGCTCCTTGTGACTCCTTCATGTATGTCAGTCTTCAAAACACTTAAAAATGTTTCTTCAATTAATAGTGTGAAAAAGACTATTGACAGTTAAATTCCCAGGCCCTTCACTTTGTTGGGGATTGAGTAAGTGACTGTGTTATCATTACTTACAAAAGTGCTTTAAACTTGATGGAGCTTATGTTAAGAAATAAAGTTTATACATATTTTTTCTTTTGAGTTTTTTTATCCCATGAAAGTTTTGAAGTTCCCATGTATTGCCATTTTCTTTTTTGAAAATAATATTATGAGTGTACTATAATTTTTAAAATGTAATTTTTGTTAAATTAAGTATATTTGTAATATGTATTTGATAAATAGAACTTTTTAAGGGCTAAAATGTTCAGTAGTTTATGCTTAGGGAATTAAGCTGTCCTCAGTTTGGGCATTTTACTCCCTTTGTCATTTTATGACAAAATTAAGGTGATGGTACATCTCTCTGCTCAGAACCTATTAGATATTGAAACATTTAATTTTTAAGTAAAATGGAAATCACCCCATTTATGAAGCATCTAAAAAATGAAGGCTTTTTTAAAAATTGGAGTGATTTTAAAAAAAATAATCTTTCTTAAAAGCCCTAAGATATTAAAATGCTAACGATAGCTTAACTGCCTAAAGTCTGGTAACAAATGCTGACTTACTAGTTTGTCCATATTGGTATGTTAGATGCTGCTACTAGCAGTAGTAAAGTTTTGTAATACAGTGGACTACCTCTTGTCATTTTTTTAAAAATGTTTCTCCATGGTTCAGGTCTATGCCACTGCCATTGAGTAGATTTCTATCCATAGCAAACCTATATAGGGTTTCTAACACTGTAAATCTTCACATTAGCAGACAGCATTATTTTACTCTCTCAAAGATGCTAGTGAGTTTGAACTGCTGATCTTGCTAGCATTTCAAAAAAAGTTTCTGAGGCTATCAAAATGAGTAGAACCAATTTTTTGCTTTTAACTACGATATTTCAAATTTTAGTTTTAAATTACCATTATAGGTCTTCTTTGACATGTTAGCATTTTATCCAGTCATCCAAGCAGGACTTGACTTTCTTATCTTCTATCACTAAAGAGTCAAAAATGGCCTTTTTCTCCTAAGAGCAGATTTACCTCTTCTCCAGAAGCATAGCTTCAGTATGCATTCTCATTTTAGCATGGGATACCTGTCATAATAGGCATACAGTGAATATTTACTAGATAGCAAACAAGATAATATCCATCCTCTAGCTCTCAAGAGGCTTCACCACGGGGTCCGGTGTGCTTTGCCTATATCATTTGTCACCTCTCCATCAAGGTATACTGTCTTCAAATTACCCACCCTCTTCATATATGCCATTCCTTTTTCACACTCTGGCCCTTTCGTATAAGCTGTCTCCTCTATCCAAAATATGAAATAACCTTTTTGCTTTCCAGCTTGACAGAAATAGAACTCCTCAAAGATATTTAATGTTAAAGCTAATACTCTGCCTTTGCTCCTTCGTGCATTTAGTTTATGCGTCACGTACAACATTTATTCAGTAAGTGCTGAGTGTCTTCTGTAAATCAGCTTCTACGCTAGGTGATGAGTAGGAAGCAATTCCTGTAGCTAAAAGGAACCATCTACTAGACAGCCTATAGCTAGCTTGTCTTAATTACTTGGGTACCTTACTCCTATACTAGTATTTGGGCCCTGGAAAGCCAGGACAATTTATTTTTTCTTTGCCATCTTTGGCATATAATTATTAAATGTGTATTAAAAATAAGTTTAAGTCTAAGGAAATCTTAGATATCATGTAATTTGGCCGCCTTATTTTACATATTTGTATATTTTAAAAAACAGTTATAGGGAAAAAGTTATAGGAACTGCCCAAATGAGTTCAATGCAGAAGGATTAATCCCTGAAGTTACTTGGTAGAGATGTTTGATTTACTCTTCTCTTGAAGTTAACTGGTTCAGATTATTTCATAGCTTCCATATGCTTCTAAATGAAGCTAGATTAAGGAGAAGAGACTTCCTGAAGTGGCTTGTTAAAAAAGTTTTTTAAGAACCCATCACAAGGTTGAATATTAGCCCCTCTACCCACCAAAAAATAGTGTGTGCGTGTGTGTGTACCTTGTTATCATTCTCGCTGCTTCCCCCCCCCCCCCAAAAAAAAAGGAGTTTTAACTGGGAATTATTTTGACCATGAGGAAACATTTGGATATGTCTGGAGACATTTTACTTTTCACAACTTGGGATTTTATCACTGGCATCTAGTTGAATAGAGACCAGTTCAACTAAGAATGCTGCTAAACTGTGTATAATGCAGAGGATGTAAATAGTGCCAAGGTTGGGCATCCCTGAATTAGAAGATAATATAAAGGAAATTATGTGTAGCAGGTGAGTATGCTGGTAAGAGTAGATGAAATTAACTGAAACAAGGTGAGATATAAAAATGGAAACTGTAGCATGGGGAGGAAATTGTAAGATAAATAAAGTAATACAAAGTATGGGATCAGCCAATTTCTTATACTGGATACCATCTGTTGATAGGTAAAAATTACTAAACCTTTCAGCATGTGTAAGGTGGGAGTTTGGCTGTGTTTGAATATTTTTGCAATAACTGAAAAGTAAGAGGCATTCAAGAAAAAAGTTCATACATTAGGGATTATTTTTAAAGTAATAGATGGTGAGCATTTATCCTGACCAACATTGAATTTTCTCAGGAGCACATGGATGACGTATGCTCTTCTCAACTTCTAACTTCAGTAAGGCGCATGGTTTTGACTCTTACCCAGCAAAATGATGAGAGCAAAGAGTTTGTAAAGTTCTTTCATAAGCAACTTGGAAGTATATTACAAGTAAGAGTTTATATTTGTATGTTGGCATATATGCCATTGGGATGTTTGGTTTGGGTGTGTTTTAAACCATTTTCTAGCATTATAGTGTTCAAGTAGATACTCAGCATTTGTTTGAAGTGGTTTTGTTGATCTTTTTTATTTTTCCTTATTAAATTTTTTATTTAATGTTCGGCCTGCGTCTTCATTTTGTCATTCTTGGTATAGTAGTTAAACCATATGATTTTCTGATTCAAAATGGCCAATACCTGTCCATTTCATATCATTAATATAGGATGTTGATCTTTGTGTGTTCCATTTCATTTTGAAAACTTTTTATATTCCTACACTCAATCTTCCTAAAGCCCATGTACCAATTGCTAATTGATGTTTCTGGCTGCTGCTTCTCATGTTGAGCTGTGCCCCATCAACAAATAAAGGTCCACAAATTGTCCTTAAGTCAACTCTTTTAGGAGGCATTTCTTCCCTCCTATTTTGAATGCCTTGCAGAGTGAGGGGCTGGTCTCTTGGCACTATTACCAGACAGTGTGCCACTGCTATTCATATTGTTTTTAGTGCCTAAACACGCAGAACTGGATAGCCTGTTACTTCTTCCTAATCTGTTTTTAGCCTGGAAGCTTATTGTAATATTCTCTATATTTAATAACTTTATTTTGTAACAGTAGCCATTAATGTTCAAGTTTTTAATATTTAAAGGGGGTTTTTTTGTTGTTTTTCTTTTGGTGAATATTATAATTCAAACTTTAAGTCATATATATTGCTATACTTAAAATTGAAATTTACTGTGAGCTTAAGAAATTTATTTGGTTGATATTTGTATAGGATTCACTGGCAAAATTTGCTGGCAAAAAACTGAAGGACTGTGGAGAGGATCTTCTTGTTGAAATATCTGAAGTGCTGTTTAATGAATTGGCTTTCTTTAAGCTCATGCAAGATTTGGATAATAATAGTTTAACTGTTAAACAGAGATGCAGAAGGAAAATAGAAGCAGCCGGAGTAATACAGTCTTATGCCAAAGAGGTGAATGATATTCATTTTGGTTTGGGACTATTTATAATTAGCATTAACTGTGTTCTTGATTATTAATAATTATAATCCTATTTGACTTGGCCAAAGAGTTCTTTTTATTAATACCAGTTAACAAATGATATATCAAAACACATGTTAGTTTATATACTAAATCTCAGAAAGAATGGCAGTGGCAAACCCTAAGGAATGCCTGTATAAACAGGGATTGGTGCTAAGAGTATATTGTCAAATTTTCAATTTATATTATTGTCATAGTTATTTAGTCGAGAGAAGGACCAGTCCTTAACCAGCTATTTGCCAGACCTACCTACCCAAACTCACATTGCCACTGAGTCAATTCTGACACATAGAAACTATATCGGACAGAGTAGAACTGCCCTTTTTGTCTTTCCAAGACTACAAATCTTTATGGATACAGAAAGCCTCATCTTTTTTCTCATGGTACAGCTGGTGAATTTGAACTGCTGACCTTGTGTTTAGCAGCCCAACACATAACCCACTGTGCCATCAGGGCTCTTTTGCCATGACTACAAATGCCATGAAAAGTCATTTCCATCGGGCTGATGCTGAGTCACAACAACCCCGTATAACACAATAAGCTGTACCGTAAGGTTACAAAGGCTGTAATCTTTTGTGTATTGGCTTAGGAAATGTTTCCCCTCAACTTGAGGCACACCAGAAAGTGTTTTCTTTAGACCCTGCACTCTTTCATGACCAAGTAGGCCAAGTCCTAAAACAGAAAAAGTAGACCTTTTTCCTTAAAATCTATATAGTCAACCATCTATCCCATATTAATTATGGTAAGAATGGGCATTTTAGAGGACAGAGCTAGGTCGTGGTAACAGAAACACATTCAATGTGATGAGAGTGTAAGAAATGAGACGGGTGTGGATAAGATGAAACAATGGCCTTATGGAAACCCATGAGGAAATTTCAAAATGGAGAGTGGGATAATTGGATTTGTGATTTAAAATATCCCTTTGGATACCTTATTGAACCAGGGTTATAAGAGAGTAGAAAAGAATTAAGGCTAATGCCAATTTTGTGACTTATACTGCTTGCTAATATTTGGAAAACTAAGGATTGGGTTTGGGGAACGATAATTTCTGTTTCGGACTTAGTAAACTTATAAGGAGAAATTAGGTAAGCAGTGTTTTTTGTTTTGCGAAGTTAAAAACTTTAGATAAAATAGAATATGCATAGCTAGGAAAGTAGAAATACACAGCATTGGTGAAAGCTTATGTGATAGCTAGCATGTGTTGCGTGTACAGAATGAGTTATCCATAAAGTCTATTCAATTTCTGTATTTATAGGCCAAAAAGATTCTTGAAGGAGATCATGGCTCACCTACTGGAGGGATTGATGATGAAGATAAAGTATGTACTAATTAAAATTTGCCTAATTATAATACTTTGAAATAAAAAAACTGATTTTAACAAATTTTGCCTTAATGCTTGAGAGCAAAATTACCATCACATGTCCTTTTTCTCTGATAAATCTTCATTTTTCTTCTTTTAAAAATAACAAAGTAGCCCATAAAACACATCTTAATTTAAAAGAAGAAAAATCATATGCTATGCTCTCACAACAGAATTAAGCTAAATATAAAAAATAGGAAACTATATAATCAAAGTATTTGGGGATTTAAACAACAATTCTAAATATGTCAGCAAAGAATTCTTTGATATCTTAAAATTTTGAACTTATAAAAATGAAGATACAATTTATCAGTTTGTAATAACATGCTGTGAAAACAGTGCATAAATAAAAGTTTATAGCACTGAATGCAGTTTTCAACAAAGATTATAAAAAAATCTAAGCTTCCAATTTAGGAAATTGAAAAAGAAAAACAAGTCCAAAGTAAGCAAAATAAATAAAATTTGAGCCAAAAATCTATAAAATTGAAAAATCAATAGAGCAGGACAACAGAATTAAAAATCTCATTATTTGTTAAGATCAGTAAAATTGATACTGGCTATTCAAGAAAAGGAAAAGATGCAAATAACTGGTATCAGGGTTTAAAGAGGGACTACCATGGACAATAAAAAGTAACTGGAATATAGTGAACAATTTTGGCTATAAATTGGGTAACAGATGAATTGGCTGGATCTCTTTGAAGACACAATTACAAAAACTTGACACTTTGGGGCGGGTGGTCATCTGAATTGACCTGTCTCTAAATAAAGAAGTAGCAGCAAAAAGTAATAACTCACAAAGAGAAAAAGCATCCATCCCCTATTATGTCACTTCTGAATTATACCAGAAATTTAAGGAATAAAAATAATTTTCCATAAGCTGTTCCATAAAATAAAATCAAACATTCACTTGCTGTTTTTTTCTGTGGGTTAGAATAGAGAGCCCAGCATAGACCCAGACTAATACAGCAAAGGAGTAAAGGTAATTCAGTGGAGGAAGGATAGAGTTTTCAAAAATGGTTCTGGAATAGAGCCTTGGTGGCCTACAGGTTATACATTGGGTTGCTACCTGCAAGGTTAGCAGTTCAAGATCACCAGCTGCTCCTTGGGAGCCTTCCACTCCCCTAAAGAGTTACAGTCTCAGAAATCCACAGAGCCAGTTCTGTCCTGTCCTAAAGGGTTGTTATGAGTCAGAATTGATTCAGTGGCAGTGAGGATGCAAAATAAATTAGTCTAGACACAGTAACATCTTTAACCAAAATTTACTCAAAGCATATAATAAACTTAAATATTAAACATAAAATTATACACTTCTAAAAGTTAACATAGGAAAAAATCTAGGTGCCGTGAATTTAGCTGAACGTTTTTAGATGTAATGCACCCAAAAGCACTGTTCATTTTTTTAAATTCCATAAATTAGACAATTAAATTCATATACTTAAAAAGACACTACAATGAATATGAAAAGACAAGCCACAAACTGGGAGAAAACATAACCAAATGAATTTTTCTCTAAGCTACATAAACCCTCCCATTGCCATTGAGTTCATTCTGATTTAAGGTGAGCCTGTGGAACAGAGTACAGCTGCTCCATGGAGCTTCTAAGACAAAAATCTTTTTGTTGGCACGGTGAGGGGGTGAGGGGGACAAACACCTTCATCTTTCTTTTGCAGTAGGACTAGTTAGTTTGAACTGTCAAACTTGAAGAGTACAGCTGCTCCATGGAGCTTCTAAGACAAAAATCTTTTTGTTGGCACGGTGAGGGGGTGAGGGGGACAAACACCTTCATCTTTCTTTTGCAGTAGGACTAGTTAGTTTGAACTGTCAAACTTGAAGTTAGCAGCCTGATGCTTAACCCACTACTGTACAAAGGAACTCCTAAAATTTGACATTAAGGAAACAGAACAACTCAGTTTAAAAAATGGGAAGAAGGTCTGAATAGGCGCCTCAGCAGAAGCTTATAAATAGATGGTTAACATCTTGTCATTCAGACTCCTTGCCATGAGTTATTTCCGACCCCTCCTCGAAGATACTAATGGTTTCAAACGGCTTACCTTGTGGTTAGCAGTTGACTTAAAACAAGATACTACTACACAGTTACCACACGGACTGAAATCCTAACCACGGACAGCTCCAAATGCTGATCAAGATATTGTGCAGCTGAAACTCTTTCACTGCTGGTGGGACTGCAAGATGATACCGCCACTTAATAGTCATTTCTTTTAAAGCTAAACTTAGGAGACCAAATGTTTTTTTATTGTTTTATAAGACAATGAACATTATGATTCTGATGACAGATTTATTATATACTTTAAAAAAATATATGCTAAGATTTAATCACTTAAATTTAATTGTGGCTAGGACAAGGATGAGACTGAAACACTTAAGCAGACTCAAACATCTGAGTTATATGATGGTGAAGGTCCCAAGAATGTGAGATCTGATGTTTCTGATCAAGAGGAAGATGAAGAAAATGAAGGATGCCTACTGTCTATTAGTAAGTGTAAAGGCGCTACACCATTTTTATGTATTTGTTCTTTATTAGGCCACTTCTCAATGTGATTTGGTGGACTTGAATGAATATAGAATTTATGTCCAACCACTCTGCATGTGAATTCCAGCTTCATCTATCTTGTGTGGTCCTTCCAAAAGTGCTTGTTCTCATTACATTTCTTTCTAGTACTTAATAGTTTTCAGATTTCAGATATTATATATAAAATACTCTAGGTAGTTAAGTAGTAAATAGTAATTTATTAGGTGCCAAAATTTACTAAAAATTATGTATTAATCAACTTAGATTTGTCTAAAGCTGAGACTCAGGCTTTGACGAATTACGGAAGTGGAGAAGATGAGAATGAGGATGAAGAAATAGAAGAATTTGAAGAGGGACCGGTGGATGTGCAGACCTCACTTCAGGCTAACACTGAAACGACTGAAGAAAATGAGCAGCATCAGGTATTCCTGTTTAAACTAGCATACCTTCCCGCACACTTATTTTAGATGTAAGAAAGCAAATGATGTTTAAAGATGGCAAAGTTTGCAGTTTACCCAGTCTCATTTTCATGAGGATAAGCCTCATTAATATGCCTAAATAAATTCAAAACACTATTATTATATTCCACAGTATCTTAATTTAAAGCCCTTTAATGTTTTATATTTTTATAAGACACCTTAAAAAGAGCCTAGATGGCACGTTGGGTTAAGCTTTTATCTGTTAACCATAAGGTTGGCAGTTTGGCAGTTCTGTTCACTCCTGTAGGATAGAGTTGAGATCTATTAACAACAATGGGTTTGGTTTGTTCTAACTTTAAAAACAAATTTTACAAACTCTGAGTTTTTAATTTGTTTATCCTAGTCATATATGGAAATAGTTTTATAAATCAGGTAGGGCAAAGTCAGACACAACATCAAAATGATCATTCCCTTCTAGAACCACTGCTCTAGACTTTGCTACTGTGTAGACCTGCAGAGTAGATTCCAACCTGAACTTCTCTCTGTTATTCTTCTTTGTTAGCTGTCTTGTTTCTGAACCCCAATCTGTTTTCCTCTTTCTTAGTTAATTGCCTCATTTTAATGGAGCACATATTGTATTCTCTCTGAGAAAGAGTACATAAAAGATAAATGTGTTGAGGCTTTATATATATATATATACTAGAAAACCCTAATTGTTCTTCACTGAAAATCACATTCTCTCTGATCTTTGAAGTTGAAGTCATTATTCCTTGATCCTGTTTTCAGTACTGCTGTTTAGAAATCCAATTTTTTTAAAAATCTGATCCTTTGTATTTATCTGGTTTTCTTTCCTTACTACAGAAACTTTTTCTCTGGAGTTCTGAAATTTTACAGGAATATACAACACTGCACAAATGTTTTCATTCATTATGCTATGTTCTCAGTCGGTCTTTTAAATCTGTATCATGTCCTTAAGTTTGAGTAAATTTTCTTGTATTGTTGATTTCTCCTTTCTGAGATTATATTATTATATATTAGTTGTCATAGATGAATGCTTTTTTCGCCCTCTTCTTGTTACTTCTCCTTTTTTGTCTGTCTGTGAAATTTTTGTGACTGTAATCATTCCTATTACCATTGAGTTGATTCCCACTGGTAAATGACCCTGTAGGATAGAGTAGAAATGCACCACAGGGTTTCTGAGACTATACATCTTTCCAGGGGCAGACTGCCTCCTCTTTCCTGCGGAGTTTGAACAGCTGATCTTGTGGTTAGCAGCTATTAACTCACTATACTACCAGGGCTCTTTTTTTTTTTTTTAAGAACACCCTGTTGTTTCATAAAGCAATATCTTCTCTTACCCACCTAGAAGTTCTTCAAATGTTTACTGATCTTGAGTGCCTATATTGAAGAATGATAAACCAAAAAGCTGAGTAGGAGCTCTTAGATTTGACTTCAGGGCAGTTGGGAGAAGATACAGCTAGGATTTCAATAGACAAGCCTGAAATACAAGTGTCTGTTGGATTTTTCTTTGGGATAGTTTAACTTCTCCAGTATGCTCGTATCTGAGGTATGTACATAAGCTTGGCTTCTGGTATTTCAGAGCTAAGTGTGGGAAGGGGACTGACACTAAATCCCACTGTTTTCAGTATGACAACATACCGTATATGCTCAAGTATAAGTTGACCCAAATATCAGCCGAGTCACCTAATTTTACCACAAGAATGTGGTAATGTGCTGAAAATGTGCTGAAAAACTTGGCTTATTCAAGAATATATAGGGTAACTTCATTTGTGCTTTCTGCCACTCTTACTCCTCATCTCCTTGATACCTTGAAGTGATGCTCTCTAGTTCATTGTCTGCAAAATATAATCCTTCATTTTCTATTGAAGTTGGTGCAAAGAACCTGGGTGTTCACTTTTCCCTTAATTTCAGATTACCAACACCCTCTTCGTTACTCTCACCACTATTGCCTTACTCTTTCCTTTCCAGAATCGGGTACCTCTAATTTTGTGATGAATTTCGGCTTTTGTTATCTTTCCCTTTGCTAAAGGCACTTTTTTGGTTTGGGTTTGTTTTTTTTTCCCATTCCCATTCCCTCTTATCCTTATCAATTTCTTGTTTCTCCACTTACCTTGTACTTCAAAATATAGATGTTTTCTAGTTTCTTGTAAGATAAAAACCAAAAACCTCCAAACTCACTGCCATTGAGTCTGTTCCGATTCTTAAGGCACTGTAGGGCAGAGTAGAACTGCCTCTATGAGTCTGAGTCTCTAACTTTTTGAGGGTAGAAAGCCTCATCTTTCTCTTGTGGAGCAGCTAGTGGTTTTGAACTGCTGACCAGAGCTCCTTTCTTGTAGCATAATTTTAACATAATGTATTGAAAGAAAAACCAAACTTACTGCCAGTGAATTGATTTTAACTCATAGCAACACTTAAGACCGAGGTATAACTGCCCCTGTGGGTTCTGAAACTGCCTGTTTACGTGAGCTATAAGCCTTGTCTTTCTCCCAAGATAGAGTATAAAGATAATAAACAGTGGGATATGTAGTATAGTATTTTGTGGTGATTGAAAAAGAAAAGGAAACCTTCTGACTGATTCATCTTGAAATTGAAACACTTAGAAGATATTTTAAAATTATTTTCTATGAAGATTGAACACAAAGCTCATATACTGGTAATCAACTCCCATATAACTCCCCCACTCCCTCCCCCACCCCCCCCAAAATCACTGCCATCGAGTCAATTCTGACTCAGGTCCTGTTAAATATGCATGTCTGTTTTGCTTCTAGGTTTTACCACATGACTTTGAAAAAACAGCAGAAAGCAAAAATGTTCCATCAGAACACGGTAAAAAATCGAAATGTTTCATTTTAAGATGACCTTATGTGCTTTAAAACTGAAAACTCTAAATTCCCCTCATATCCTTTGTGAGAAGCATAAGAAGTCTGAGTTACTGTGAAAAGAACTATTAAAACAAAAAGTAGACAACAAATTCTTTTAAGGGAGATATTTAGATACAAATGCGGGAATATTTTTTTAAACATTCATTCCTGTTACCTACACCTGAAATTGGTTCAATAGAAATGAGAGGTAGGTTTTAGAAATCTCATTTTCAAAATGTCTCCAGCTAAATAATTGACTATATTGAGGACCAGTGATAAGGAAAATTTACAGTTGCCTTACCTTTGAGTTCTAAATTTCCTAATTACACGTATACTGGTAAATTGTCTTCATTTTATATACTATACAGTAATGTAACAGCTGCAGAATTACACTAATGTTAAGAATTTCTTTTAATTACAGAAAACCAAGATAGCAGCCCTGTGAAACCCTGTTACCTCAATATCTTGGAAAATGAGCAACCTCAAAACAGTGCTGTCCATGAGGACACACTTGCTACCAATGATTCATCTAAACAGCCGAATCCTTTGCCATTACCTTTAACTGAAATTGAAACCTTAGTGCCTCGAGTCAAAGAAGTTAAATCTGCTCAGGAAACGCCTGAAAGCTCTCTGGCTGGCAGTCCTGATACTGAATCACCTGTGTTAGTCAATGACTATGTATGTGTCACTAACACTTCCCGACATTTTGTTTGTTTTTAATTTCTGTGCATTTTCAGGATAATTTCTGTGCATTTTCAGGATAACATTGTTAGTATATAAACAAAGCTGAGCTTTAATTGTTAGAAGGGTTTTTATTTCTTATTCAAGTTTACTTTAAACAAGCAGAAAGGTGATAGTGGATTAAGATGATGATCTTAAAACCTGAACATTATTCTACTTATTCATAGTTTTTATAACTAAATACACTTGAATTTTAGGTGGCAACCTTGAGAAAAGTTTAAGGTCAGATACATCTGAAATATACAAATATGATACCTGAATAATTACTTTCACTACTCATGTTTCTCAGTTATTGAGAACATTTCATAAATCTTTGACAAACATAAAAGTTTACATTTTGAATGGGAAATACATTAATTTGACAAGCAAATTCCTATCACTATACAGTGAAAGGAAAATTAAGAAATCTTCATTTATGGTACTAGGTAGTTTTACTTCAGACCTTTATTTCCATTGATGTTATGTTATTTTTTAAATTCTTAAGTTGTTTTACATAGTTTCTCTTTGCATTCAAAGGCAGGAAATTATAACAGTGTCAGAACCATACTTTTAGTTCTAAGAAATATGCATCGTATTCTTCATTAGTATTCCCTTCTTAAAGGTGATTTTATAGGTGAAAGTTTGTAATTTCTTCAAAAGCTTTGTTACAAAGAGTAAATCTTTTAACTCAGTTTTGTTCACCTCAATATCAGTATACTTTAAAACTGAACGATAACTGCTAGATTTCATTCTTAACATTTGATCAGTGCAAGTATCACTGCATGGTTATACCCATTTTTTAAAATAGAAAGACAACAGTAATCCTCATAGCTGCCAATGTTTAATATTTCCTGTGAATTCTAGAATCTGATTTTATTCTTAGAGTTGAATATGGAAGAAAACCAAGTATGATAAAGTTACTGATAGATATTTAAATGTAACAATTCACTTTACATCTCAATATCAATGTCTTTGATTTATATCCCAAGGTGATATTTACTTATATTTGTTTCTCTTACAGGAAGCAGAATCTGGTAACATAAGTCAAAAATCTGATGAAGAAGACTTTGTGAAAGTTGAAGATTTGCCACTTAAACTGACAATATATTCAGAGGTAAGTGGCTCTCTTTAATTAAACTGTTCTCTGTAAAATAAATAGTTAATTTGAATGATTTAATTTTTTAATTTTCATTCCAAAGGCAGATCTCAGGAAGAAAATGGTAGAAGAGGAGCATAATAACCATTTACCTGGGGAAATATGTGAAAAACAAACTGAAGAATTAGCTGGGAATTCTCAAAAACTAAAAGAACCTGGTATGGGTTATCAATTTTCATCTTTTTTTTTTTAAAGATTGATGATATCATCATGTTGTTTTCCTTCTGCAAATGTGCTGCTATTCACTAAAACCTGGATGATGTAAGCCAAATTTTGGAAAAGATAATATACTTATGTGAATATTTTAGTTGCCTAATTTGGAAAGTGGCAATATCAGATTTTTTTTTTTAATCTTCATTTTTAGCAAAAGAGCTAAGCAGGAGGAGACTTGTATAACTCTGATATACTTATATTTTTTCTAAGCCTATAAAATTTAGATCATTATTAAAAGTTGAGTAATTAGACTTCTCCTTGTAGGGTTCATATTATTTTTTGTTTTTCTCTGTATTAGCTTTATTATTTTATGTATATAACCTTTTCCAGTTCTAGTAACCTTGGACATTATTTCCCTAGTCCCTCTTTTTCCTCACCCTTCCTTCTGCTGTCTTTGTCAGCTTATTGATTCTATTGTATTATTAAGGTTATTAGTAAAGTAAACATACATTTTTCCTTTTGTAGCTGAAGTATGTAGCCCTTTGTTAGTCGTCATTCCAGAACCAAATGAGACTCCCTGACCACTTGTTTTTTGAGTCCGCTTGTACTCAACAGGTTTGGTTTACTAGCACTACTCATGAGCCACTCAATAGGAAATGTTTCTTGCATCAAGCTAAAAGGATTTTGTTTCGGGTATCGTCCATCAGTTAACTAAAATCATATATAATTTTTTTTGTCTTGTTTGTGTTTCTCCACTCTTTGTTGGCTTAGATTTACTCATTTTTATAGTTAATTTCTTTTTCCTTTTCCAGTGGGATTTTTTGGTAGGGATAGGAAGTATATATGGCATGGTCAGGTATCTTGAACCCGAAACCTTTTCCTATTGTTTTTAAACCCTTACTGTGTGTTATCAGGGAGCCCTGGATGGCATAGTGGTTACATGCTGGGCTACTAACCACAGGGTCCCTTGTTCAAAACCACCAGTTGCTCCACAGGAGAAATGATGGGATTTCCTATTCCCATAAAGAGTTAGGGCTTTGGAAATTCACAGGAGCAATTGTACCCTGTCCTATAGGGTCACTATGAGTTGGCATCAACTTAATGACAGTGAGATAATTTTATTATAAAATTATATTAACCAACTAAATTAGGATTTCCTTTGTAATAACCATATAGCAAAAGCAGAAGCTTTCAATGGACAAGAGCCATGTTAAATTCTACTAGATAATATCTTCTGTAGTAATTTCTTTATAAGGCCTTAATTACTGTTCTGTTTTTCAGAAACGGTGGGAGCCCAAAGTATATAAGACGTCTTCAGAAGCTCATCTAACTCTCCTTACATGTCAATGCGTATATGAAAATGGCACTAAATAAACATCTGTTTTGATCTGTATAAAAATGTAAATTAGTTTCACACTGCATTTCTAATAGGTGTACTAATTTCTGCCCATGGCAGTTTAAAACATCAGAAATTGAATTCTGCAGATTCAAGCCTTGATATACACTGTGCTTTCTCTTTCATTTGCTTCCTCCCCCGTCCCCATCTTAATGATTTTTTTACGCTATTGTGTGGTGTTGAGTAATGTTAAATTTTAAATGTAGTTTTAAATAAAGTTTGGACTTGTCTGTAAAGCATCTTTTTGAAATTATGTTGAATTCTACACAGCAAGTCACTGTTCTATATTAATTAGCTATTCAGAGAAGAAAATGGTAAAGAGTCAAGAGTTTAAAAAAATAATGCTATTTATTATAAAGCCCAGCCATTGCTATTTTCCATTCGGCGAGGCTTTCTGCTAATGCCAGTGTTGCTGCTATTGGGTCTTCTTGTCTTTGAGCATATACTTGTCCTATTCTTGTGCAAGAATTGGGCAAGTTATGAAGATATCCAGGATATCTGTGAGGTTATTGTAGGATATATATTAATACTTTATTCAGATTGGGTTAAAACATTTAGAATACATGTCTATAGTACCTAGAGTTTAAATAATTATCTATTAGGTTAAATACTAATATGTTGCAGAATTTCAATTTGTCACTTTAAAATGAATAAGAAAAGGCTTTATATAATTAGTATTTCTGCACAGACAAGTAACATTGTGATTAATTTTAAATGAAAAACCAAATTCTTCAAGGGACTAATAGAGCTAAACTTATATATATAGCACAGTAAGTTTCTGCATATGTTCAGATAAGCCTTTCCTTTGCGAGATGATGGTATAAGACCAAAGCACAGCAGTGACTCTCCTGTGTGGTAGGAGATAGTAGGTTTTCAGGTGAACTACTGAGGAAAGAAATCTGTGATTTCATTATCATGAAGTAAATCAACTTATAAAAGATGGTTTACTTTTATACTCCAAACTCACCATATTCTCTTTAAGTCATCATAGATCATATTCCATTCAAGGAAGACTATGGATTCTTCTGTGAATGAAATCTGGTTAGTTACAAGTCTTTTATCTAAAGTAACAACTAACTGAAATAGCCTATAGGAAAACATTGCGATTAGTATTCCCTTAAAATACTTATTTGATACCTCACTATAACACTATGGCCAGCCAGAGAATATTAGATTATTTCTCTAAGAGGACATTTTAAGTATATAACTAAAATTATGTGAGACTCTATCTCCAAATTTAATAAAACCTTCAGAAAATAACCAACCCAAAATAAAGAATTCTTATCTAACTGGCCTTACTTACTTCAGGGAAATTGAAACAATAAGTTACATTATATATATACTCAAATTCTATATTTGTTGTCTAGACTCTAAATAAGAAAAGGGGAAAGCTTTGTTTTGATACTCGAGCCAAGCCTTCCCTGTTGCAGCTATCTCTCTGCATGTATATTAAAGATAGATCCAGTGGAAGACATACTTAAACCTTAATTATTAGTGCAGTACCTATTAAGATTACTTATTTGACTTGTGTTACAGCTGCTGTTAGCTAGTCTGTTATTTTATTTTTTTAGTTTTAAAATGCCAATGACTTGAGAGCTGATAAATTGCTTAATATGTTTTCCTTAATAACTACTGCTAAACACTAAGGCATTAAATATTCTTGTTTGCCGAGGGAGAAATGGTTTAAATGAGTAAGAACCCTATGCAGAAGAGATAATGCCGGAATTGAGGTAGCCAGACTGTGGAAGTCCTCTTTGTATTTTATAACGTTCACCTTGGATAAACTGCTTTTTCACTTGTCAATAAATGTATATCCTACCTTCATGCCTGAATTGCATTTTTACTTAAATTGACATGTTCAGTTATACTTTAAATTTTATTCCAGAATTATGATTTATTTGACAGTTTGAAAAACAACCCAGACATGAAAAATGACACGAGGGTAAGTCAAACCAAATTGCTACAAAATCACAGGCACCTTTAATTGAACAAAAATATCAAAAGAGGTAAGGCCTTGTTTCTTCCTATACTCACCATCAAGATCTGCTCATCTCTGAGGTCACTGTGTTCCCATTTGTCTAACTCATGAAGAGTTCTGCAGACTTCCATGTGCACCATGTCGAATGGCAGTGTAAGCTTCCTTGAGGGGAGGGACTCTGTGTGAAGGAATCGGATAGGGCAGGATCAGGGCTGGAGGATAGGTTGGGTAATGTTTTGTACAAAATTCTCAGGATAGTCCTTACTACCTTCATTCAATAAAGTAGGTACATTGTTGGGACAGAACACAACTAACATTCCTGGGTGTTTTTCTCACCAATTCAGTTTTCTTAGAACATTTTTTCTTTTTTTAATATGGAACGCTTCTCGAATTTGCGTGTTATCCTTGCGCACGGGCCATGCTAATCTTCTCTGTCGCATTCCAATTTTAGTATATGTGCTGCTGAAGCGAGCACGAGAACATTTTCTTAATGAGACCCCATGATTGTCCTGTATCCTTGAAGAAAATCTGTCAAGATTACTCCTTTGTTAATGCGTTGTCAAGTGAACCCTATGTACCAAAGAGCAAAACATTACCCCATCCTACACAATTGTTAATGTGTGAGGCCATTGTTTCAGTCACTATGTCAGTCAGTCTTGTAGTGGGTTGTATTAGTCCGGGTAGAATAGAGAAATCCATAGATACTCGTGTATAAGGGAGAGTTTTATATAAAGGGTAATTGTACATTAAGAAAGCATCCCAACCCAGTCCAGTACAAGCCCATAAGTCCAATATTAGCCAATATGTCCAATACCAGCCTATAAAGTCCTCTTTAGATTCACGAAACATGCAATGATGCCGAATGTAGAAGATCACAGGCCAGTGGGTAGAAAGTCTTTGGATCCAGTGGCATTAAGTATCTCAGTGCTGCCAGGGGTCCCCATGTGGCTTCTCCAGTTCCCAGGGCTCGGGGTCTATCAGCATAGTGCCAGGTGACTTGTCAGTAGAGTCTCCAAGGGAGTAAGCAGAGAGAGAGAGTCTCCTACCTCCCAAGGAGGAATATTGGATTTCCCAGAATTCTCAGGAGAAGGCCATGCCCACACTAAGGCCTCATTGGCAATGATCCGATTGACAGATTAGACTACACCCCGTCACTCGTAATCTTCTCAAATGGACACAAGATTATGTAGCTACCACAAGGGTCTTCCTCTTTACCAAGCATGATGTCCTTTGACAGGGACTGGTCTGATAACATGTCCACAGTGTGTGAGATGAAGTCTTACCATCCTTGCTTCTCAGGAGCATTCCAGCTGCTCTTCCATGAGCAATTTGTTTGATTTGCGGGGAGGGCCAGTCTCTGGTCCTTAGAATATGCTTCACCAGCATCAGTTCTCTCTCTCACCTTCCTTATGCAGAGCCCAGCTTTCACATGAATATGAGGCAGTTGAAAATATCATGGGTTAAATCAGGTGAACCTTAGTCTTCAAAGTGACATGCTTGCTTTTCCACACTTTAAAGAGGTGCAGCTGGCTTACCAAATCCAGGGCATCATTTGACCTCTTGACTGCTACCTCTATGAGCATTTATTGTGGATCCAAGCAAGACAACTTTAATCTTTTCCCTGTGTATTATGAATGGTACAATTTGTCGATTGGTACAGCTGGGAGGATTTTTATTTACATTGCTTTGTAATCTGTATTGAAGGATGCATTCTTTGATCTTCGTTAGCAAGCCAGATATTATCATCTCTTGTGTTGCAGGTTGTTATAATCCCTCCAAACCCAATCCCACAGTCTTCATATACTTTAGCTTCTCTGATAATTTGCTCAGCATACAGGTTGAATAAATATGGTCAGAGGATATGACCCTGATGCATACATCTTAATTTTAAACTAATGCGATTCTGTTTGTACAACTGCCTCTTGAATCGTGTATAAGTTCAGCATGAGCACAATGAATTTTTCTGGAATTCCCATTCTCTGGGCTATCCATAGTTTATGATTCACATATTTGAATGCCTTGGCATAGTTGCTGAAACAGAAGTAAACATTTTTCAGGTATTCTCTCAGCAAAGATCCATCTGACATCAGCAGTGATACTCCTTGTTCTACGTCTTTTGAATCTCTCGCAGTTTCCCTGTCAATGTACTGCTGTGTGTGATTGTCAACAAATTTTTACTTGCATGCGGTATCAATGATATTCTATAATTTGCATATTTTGAGGGGTCACCTTGCTTTGAAATGGGGCAAATATGGATCTCTTGCAGTCATTTGGCCAGGTAGATTTCTTGGTATAAATAAATGTGATTATTTCATCAGCTTGTTGAAACATTTCAATTGGTATTCAGTTAATGCTTGGCACCTTGTTTTTGGCTAATGCCTTCAGTGCAGTTTGAACTTCTTCCTTCAGTACTATTGGTTCTTGTGGATAGGCCACCTCTTGAAATGGTTGAATTTTAGCTAGTTCTTGATAATGGTGACTATTTGCTCCATGTTCTTTTGATGCTTACTACATCATTCAATATTTTTCCCATTGTTGTTATGTGCCATCAAGTCCGTTCAGACCCACAGTGACCTCATACCCAAGAAAGCGAAACACTGCCCTGTCCTGCACCATCCTCAGAATTGTTCCTATGTTTGAATCCATTGTTGCAGCCACTAAGTCACTTCATCTTGTGGGCCTTCCTCTTTTGCTGTGCCCCTCTACCAAACATCATGTTCTATGGGAACTGGTCTCTCCTGATAACGTGTCCAAAGTATGTAACACAAGTCTCACCCTCTTGGCCTCTATGGAACACTCTGACCATACTTCTTCCAAGATAGCAATTTGTCCTTTTAGCAGCCCATGATACTTTGAGTATTATTATTCACCACAATTCAAAAGCGTCGTTTTTTCGGTATTTATTCAACATCCAACTTTCACATGCATATGAGGCAATTGAAAATACCATGGTTTGGGTAAGGCACACCTCAGTCCTCAAAGTAATAACCTTGTTTGCAATACTCTAAAGTGTTCTGATACAGCTGATTTACAAAGGCAACTCATCTCAATTGCTGCTCTGATGGGAACTGATTGTGAATCCAAGGAAGACAAAATCCTGGACAATGTCTACCTTTTCTCCATTTACTGTGATCTTACCTATTGAATCAGTATCACTACTGAAGGCTTTGTTTTCTTGTGTTTTATTTGTTTAGGATTTGCTGAGTATGTACTTTTTGGTTTTCTAACTGTAGGTCATTGCACATTTAATAATAATTTGTCTTATCCACCTGCCCTTTGAAATTTTCTGTTCAGCTCTTTCATCATTTCTTGAAATTTACCTTAGCTACGCTATGATTAAGAGCAAGTTGCAGCAATATAGTAAAGATGCCAGTTCTGCCCAAGGCTGTATATAAGTTCAATGCTATCCAGATTCAAACACAATCATCTTTCTTCAAAGAATTGGAAAAACTTACTACCAACTTCATATGGAGAGGGAAGAAGCCCCGAATTAGAGAACTCCTCAAGAAGAAGGACAGAGTGGGAGGGCCTGTTTTACCTGACTTTAGCATATACTGTACAGCCACAGTGGTTAAAATAGCATGGTATTGATATAATGACAGATACTCAGACCGATGGAAAAGAACTGAAAACCTAGAAATAAAATCATCAGCATACAGACAACTGATCTTTGATAAGGGCCCAAAAAAACATCAGGTGGGAAGCAGATGCTCTCTTCGCAACAAGTGGTGCTGGAAAAAATGGATATCTGCCTGCAGAAAAATGAAGCAAGACCCTTTCCTCACTCCATGCACAAGAATAAACTCAAGGTGGATCACAGACCACGAGGTAAGCCCCCAAACTATTAGGGCCATCAGTGAGGGAATTGGGACAAACCTGAGAACTTTGGCACAGGAAATACATAGGCTATCGGAAATGACACAAATACAGATGTGTCACAAATTGACAAATGGGACGTACTGAAGATAATACACCTGTGTACATCGAAAGAATTCACTGAGTAATAGAGGCCACGGACTGGGAAAACAACTTTAGCAGTAACATATCAGACAAAGGCCTTATTACTAAAATCTACAGTACTCTGCTACCTTCCAAAAACAAACATAATTGCCCACTGAAGAGGTGGGCAAAGGACCTGAACAATTATACGGGGGCAGAAATCCAAATGGCCAGTAAACAAGAGAAAATGTTCCTGATCATTAGCCATAAGAGAAATGCAAATTAAAACAACTATGAGATATCACCTTACACCCTCAAAGATAGCCCAATTCAAAAAAATAAAGCAAGTGTTGGAGAGACTGGTGAGATAGGAACTCTTGTCTACTGCTGGTGGCCCTGTAAATATGTACAGCCACTATGGAAATTGATTTGGCGATATCTAAAACATGAAAATTGAGCTACCAGACAACCCAGCCATCCCCCTACTGGGCATATACCCAGAAGAAGCAAGAAACAAACCACGGCCAGACATCCGTGCTCCAGTGTTTATTGCAGCACAGTTCACAATTGCAAGGAGTTGCAAGCCACCGAAATTTCTATCAGCGGATGAACGGATTAAAAAACTGGTACATACATACAAAGGAGTACTAAATGGAGTGGCATTCCTAAAAAGCAGTGATGAATGCATGAAGCACATCACTGCATGGGAAGAACGAGGAAATAGTGCTAAATATGCTAAATGAAGTAAGCCAAACACAAAAGGATAAGTACAGCATGAGTCCACTGAGGTAAGCTTAAAAATGAAAAAGGGGCAGAGGGAAAAAGCTACTGCATAACATTCCTGGGGTGAGGTCCATGTATTATGGCAGGGGCCAGACCCAATCCAGGGATACATGTGACAGCCAAC